TGAGTCAAAGCGTGTGTTCAAATAGTTAGAAGCATTCTTTTACTGCTTGAAATATCAGATGGGATTTCGTTTTGGTGCATCAGGTCAGAAAGATCAGAAAACTTACTCAGTGATATATCAACATATGTTACTTAAATTAAAGTACCACAGAGTAGAAATACCTTGAATAAAGTCAGGCATTCAAAATGTATTAGCATCAAAATATACTTAAAATATCAAAAGTAGAATTGCTCATTTCAGAATAATGTATATTATTGGATTCTAATTATTGATGCATTAATGTTTACGTCACTTTAAGTATCCAGCTAGAGGTAGACCCAACTTTAATTACTGTATAGTTTTGTTTTTAATAATCTGAACCTGTAAAGTAACCAAAGCTTTAAAATCAATGTAGTGGAGTAAAAATATCTAAATATCTGCCTCTGAAATGTAATTATTTTACAATTTATGATGAATTACAAAATATAACTGCTGTTTGAGTGAGCAACCTTTATATCAGTGGACAGCTACAGGATGGGAAACAAATAAAGTATTTCTATTAACATTTTTGGGCAAAGAAAAACTTTTTAAAAACTTTTTTTACTTTTTATGTTGTTGTTTTTGCACTAATGTTCTCTTTTAAACAGTAAACTCCTAATATCCAGACTCTAAACTACATATAAACTTGTGTCCTGACATCTGTCTTACCTTTATGCAGAGGGAACTCCAGGCCCTGTCCTCTGGTTAAACACGAGCTGCCCCACAGGTTCCTGCCGACCACCTGGCTTCCCACTGAGGAGTTGTTTTTTGGATTTACGCCTGAAATGAACAAACAGCTCAGAATGAACTCACTCTACCTGAACCCACACACCAATTTGCCCATGTCTGATGGAACAATGCCATATTTAGATATAGCACCTATAGTGTGTGAAAAGCACAGTATATGTACATGATTAGAGTTTGTTGAAACAAACAAACTTTTATCTACAGACGCCCAGAAGCTCAGAGGGGAAAAGCCAAACACTGGCTCTAGATAGGGGCATTTGCATTTTTCATCAACTTAGTTGGTCCTTTGAGCTGGGAAGGCAAGGGTGAAGTGTGGTAACTACACAGCTAGACGCAACTCAACACTACACACTGGTCCTTTAACTAATGTGATATGCTGATATTTAAGTATTTAACTTAAATTGTCTGTGTTGGTCTTTTGTCTTCTTTCGCTGCTTTTAATTCTAACATAAGTCTATAACTTATTTCATTCATCTCTTAATTTGTCTCAGAGTTTTCTGTGTTATTAGGGGTTTGTTTGCAACATAAATGTGATCCTTGTTTCTCACCTGGCAGGTATCTGGACTGGCGGAGGTAGTGCTGCTTTGCAGACAAGGCGGTGGAGTCAGCTCTGTTCAGCCCACTATTGCTCGGCAGCTTTGATTCTGTATCATTCTTTGACTCTGGAAATCTAGACAAAAACATATTATGGTATATATATATATATTTTTTTTTTTACAAAACTGTGATGAAAACGTATCTTTTACAAGAAAATAAAAAGGTCTAACCGACAGCTGGACTCATCCAGCGTCCTGTCCTTCAGAGAGCTGATGGTGGGTTTTTTGGAGATGGACACTCCAGCGTCTGCATCCTCACTATCGTCCCAGCTGTCGACGGACTTGAAAGACGTCTGGCCCCATCGTCGACGTCCTGTCCTCACTCCAGTCGTGCTATTTTCCGCTCCTCTGGGAGCTGCTCTTGTAGGCTTTAAAATGAACATACAACATATTAAAAAAAAAGTTCTGTAAGCCCAGAGTTGGTACCATTCTGACATGTAGAACCTGAGTGATACCTACAGCCTGCCAGCTCATCGGTTGCCTTTTTTTCACCAGGCTGAGAGGTTCCTGCTGTCTCTCTGGCAGCGTGGTGACACGCATTGCTTGCTTTGAGCTTGGCTCCATGTTGTCCAGAGGTAAGGAGATCTGCTGAAGGGGCTGGTGGAGCGATTGGCCGCAGGTCTGCAGCTCTGCCGGAGTCTTACTTGGCTTACTAGGTTCTAGGTCCATCTTACAGAGGGACAGAGGCTCTGTCTCTGTGGCTGCCTCGGACGTCTTTGTCTGAGTCCTGTGCTGCTCCAAGTACTTGAGAGGAGCACCGAGCGCCTGGCCGACATGGAAGTATGGATACCGTAGAGCCTGGAACACAAACAAAGGGAAAATATCTAATTTAGTTCAAGATTCAGAGAACATATTGATTATAGGACAAATATACATAAAATATGATACCATGAGCCTCATCAAAATAAAAGTGTAGACAAGAAGTAGAAACAAGGCCTCGAGTTCTTGATCATATGATGGAATATCATGTTTACTATATCTTGTAAAGGACTATTGAGACAAACACTTCACATTTCCCACAATGTTAAAGGCTGAAATATAGTTTTCAGAAAGATGTGTGTCTGTCTCACATTGAATTAAGTCCGTGGACGTGCACTGCCTCAGTAGTACATCCAGATGCCAGGTTTGGCATTACAGTAACTGCCAAGGTAAGCTGATTGATTCCCACTTGGGCTAAAAATAGATGCACTTAAGGTACTCAAAGGTCCTCAGGATAAAAGCATTCACTGAAAGGACTTGTGTTACTCTGCAAACACTGTCACCTCAACATTAGTTAGTTTGTCTTTACTCTAATCTTTGTACATTTTGTGTTTATTCCAACCAGGTTTTGAATGTACCTGAGCAGCACTTGGTCTTTTCTCAGGGTCCCACTGCAGCATGTCTTTCATCAGAGCGATGGCCTCGTTGCTGGCGTTGGGGATCAGGGATCTGAGGCTGGTGGGGACACACTTTGGGAAGCGGAAGTTCATCGAGGTGGCCAGGTTGTAGCCTTCAGGCCAGTCCGTCTGATGTGGTGGAAAAACAAGAGGAAACAACTGAGTCCTCTGTGAGTTTTTTGTGCGTCTACATTTGCAATCTGTGTCTCACAAAATGAGTAAAGGTGTGTTTTTAACGGTGACAGTGGTCCAATCAGAGAGGGCGTCACCAATAATTTATAATGGTTCACCTTCTTCAGCGTTCCCAGCACCTGACAGATCTTGAAGATCTCGTCCACCTCGCTGTTGCCAGGGAACAGTGGTCTGAGTATGTACAGCTCCGCAATGATGCATCCCACGGCCCAGATGTCGATGGGTGAGCTGTAGGAGTTCGACTTCAGCAGAACCTCTGGGGCTCGGTACCTGTCATAACAACACAGGAGGGTATTTGAGGAACATTTGCACGTAGTGATTGAACTCTTTTTTTAAGTGTTTGCTGTTTTCATTTACTATTTCTTGCTCAATAAACAAAATCTCCCAACAAGTTTAATTTGTTTCATCATATCTTACAGAATAGTTGTTTGTCCTCTAGTAAGGAGCCGCAAGAACAACTAATAAGATCTGTTCATTTTAATTAAAGTGTAATGCCCATATACAGAGTCATGTCTGATTTGTACATTTTAATACAATCTGAGATATCCTGCTTTTACTCAATAAATGGAAGGAGGGT